TAAAATGACTTCAGGTTTCCTCCAATGTTCCCCCTAAAGATGTGTCCTCTGCTCTGGTCCCTATCATGTGATGTCACAGGCATTGTATGCGTACACAAAGAACACAAAGAAAATGAACTTTTCCCGCCACGCGTCGGACATGCACAGGGATTCGTCATTACCCAGCGACTGTAAACTGGCATAGTTCTCATTCATGACTTCCATGTACAATTGCAGCTGCCCACGGCTCAAGCTCCGCCATTCCTCCTCCGTTAAGAACACAGCTACATCATTGAACGTCACATGCATCTAGAGAAGAAGAGCGCCAATCAATCAATCTGAGAGAAGAACACAATTTCTATACAAGATATTAAAAAAAAAGACACAAATGGTAAAAACAACTGGAGGAAACAATGACAATGAATTGGCAAACTGCTATTACTGCCCTGAAAATCCAGCAGCCGTGCAAAGTTCAGGAATTCCCTCCAATTGCAGATTTAAAGGGAGTCTGTGAGGCCGTCTGTTACCGGTCACCCAGCACGGTCATTCCCTGACACCCAGCGGTGGCACTGACACAGGGCAGGCACATCACTAAGCACTGCTACTCGGTATTAGGCAATGACACCCTCCATTTGATGGGAACATGGGCCGTGCCAGCAACAGCCATCCTCACAGGATCCCAATAATGAATCCATATTGTGCAATCTGGTTATGGCTGGACGACAACCAGAAGCACTGGACTGGCATGCCCGGGTGGTAAGTTGCCCTCTCTACATTTAGTCCTGATTGGCACAAGCAGGACTAAATGTAGTGTGAGGCAGCCGATTACATGTGATGTCGCCGAGATCACATGTAAACAGTGTGCAGCCTCTTCCCCTCCCCCCCGCACTTACCTCTCTCCTCTGGTTCCGTCCTCCGCCGCCGAGTCTCTCCTAACTGCAGTGAGCAGAGCGGCAGAGGTTAAAACTAACCCTGCCGCTCCGTATACACAGTGAGAGGGGAGAGCCGTGCTGTGCCGTGCCGTGCTGTGCTCTTCCTCTCTCACCTGTCACAGGAGTTCCAGCACAGCGCTGTGCTAGAACTCCTGTATTGGAGGTGACAGGGATAATAGAACCTGTCACCTCCAATTGCTATCACAAAGGGGATTGTTTTCTCCTGTGCGATAGCAATAAAGTTAGGTAAAACATTTTTTTTAAATTAAATTTTAAAAAAAAAATGAAATAATTAAATAAAATAAAAAGGTGATTAAAAAGTACAAAATAATAACAAATTAAAAATAAGAAAATAGTTTTAAACTATAATAAGAAAAAAAAAATTATAAAAAAGTAAATAAGATGAATAAAAAATTTATCAAAAAAATATAATTAAATAAAAAGTGATAAAAAGTAAAATAAATAAATACAAGAAACAGTAAACAGTAGGGCTGCAACAACTAATCGACATAATCGATTATAATCGATTATTGAAAAAGTTGTCAACTTTTTCAATAATCGATTAATCGGCTTCCGATCAGTTGGCCCTGTTCACGGCTCCACCCACGCTGCACGCCGCACCACCTCACGCTCGCTGATGCCATTCTGCATTCATTGCTGTATAATTTTACACTTTCCTTTTCCCTATATTGCACACCACACTATTTTTTTTTTCTTTTTTACTTCCACCGCTCCTGTGATGGAGTGCAATCTCAATACAAACTAGTAGTCCATCACTGGAGCCATTTTTTAAAATGTATTTTATCGTTTATCCGATTAACCGAACGTAATAATCGGCTAACTAATCGATTTTGAAAATAATCGTTAGCTGCAGCTCTAGTAAACAGTTCTCCATTGATGGGAAGGGGGGGCGGAACCTGGGCTTGGGGCGGCAGGGAGAGTAAATCCGACCCTGGGCATGCCCTATCCCCGTATACATCCCAAGGCTTCATTTTCTCTTCTGTTAAAGGGGGCGGCTGAACAAGGATCAGCGTGATCAGCAGGGCTTGAAAAGTCCACTTGTCTGCTCGTCTGTGACGAGAGAGCCTGACGAGCAGCTACACGGCCGAGAGCTTTACAGTCAAGCGATCGAGCGTCTCTAGAGATGCTCGATCGGTTGTATTAGCAGCTGTCACTGCCGGTCCCGAGATCCGCTGTGCCCGATGCGGCCGGGACCGGCACGGCTCTGTGACAGGAGATCAAAGGGAGTAGAATCCTAAAAAAAATAAAGAAGCATAAAAAAATTAAAAAAGAAAAATCATTTTTTTAAGTCCCCGCCCCCACATACACACGCACATATGCGCCGGGTGCGCCTATGCGCGAAAACGACGATTGCGCCTATTGTGCCGCACGTTACATATCGCCGCAAACGTCGGAGTGCAATAATTTTAGAGCCATTAATCACTGATAACACTAAACTGATGAGCAGTAAAAGCGTTTTAATCGTCATCTGTGGGCATTTTTTCGCGATTTTGCGGGCGCACGCAATTTTAAGGCTTGACATGTTTGGTGTCAATTTACTCGACGTGACCCCCGACTTTTATATTTTACTAAAAATATGGGTAAGAATAAATGTTTTATAACATAACGTAGGGAAACTTTTTTTTTAAGACCTCCAGGCAGATATAAAAAGGCACAAAGTAATCCGGCATTGTAATAATAGTTGAAAATCGTTTAAATGTACTTTTTAAATGCCAGCGGGTACCCGAGTTTGACTTGATAGGAGCCACTTTACAGTTCCTGTATATCAGAGTCTAAAGAAGGATGAGGGTCACAAGAAGCCAATGACTAGAGATGCATGGCAAGGGACATGATGAGAGCGGGAAAGAGCAGAGTGACAGGGAGATGATCTCATCAGTCTGCTGCTTCTCCTTTTTGTTTTTTTTTTATTCTTTATTTTGGAAAAACAGGGTCATCCGTACAATAACAAAGCATTCCGGTACACAGTAGATAATAATCGGGGTGAAAAAACATCAATGCTGAAGAGCAATAAGTGCTGCTGCTTCTCCTTTTAATGTCCAGTACCAGGCTCGGTTTGAGAAAGAGATCGTTATGTGAAATGCAGCAAGATAGAAAAAAAAAAAGTCTGCTATCCTGCCAGAAAGAGCTGTGCTGTGTGGAGGAGCTGTGTAAATCCCAGGAGTGGATGGATAGAAATAAAAATCCTTTGGCAGGTACAACAGCTCCCTCTGTAAGAGTTTAGCAGTTTGCCTGGAGTCCAGCTTTAAAAAGTCAGCTCAACATTTTGTAGATTCCATTTCCAAAATCCAAAAGGGCCGGTACTGGTACCAGGGATGCCCGTTGCTCACACGGGGCACCGAATATGGTAAAATGACCACTGGTCAAAGGGGCCGGTCTCAGGTCTCTGAAGACTTACGGTGCCCATACACCTTACGACCATCGCAAGACTTTTGTCTTGCGATGGTCGTAAGCTTATTAAAAGCTCGTACGATCTGCCCATCTTGGACGGGCAGATCGTACTTGCGATCATCGAAAGCCCGCCCCCGCTGAGGGGCGGGCTTCCGATGACCGCAATGCAGAACGGGCAGTGTGCGCGTGCGCACACCGGCCCGTTCCGCAGCTGTCGAACGAGCAGGCTAGAAACCCGCCGACAATCGTACGATTAATCGGCAGGTTTTTCGAGCATGCTGGTTCGTTCACACTGCTCGATTCTCGTTCGATCGCGGGATTTCCCGCTATTCTCGTACGAGAATCGAGTAGTGCATGGGCACCTTTAGATTGGTAGATTTATTTCACCAACTACATGCATGTCAGGGGGGTACGGCTGGGCCGTGAGTGGAACCCCTTGGCAGGGGCGGCAAGTCAAAGTCCGAGGTCGTGGTACACAGGTGAAAATCCAAGAAGAATAGTCAGGTCCAATCCGGGTCGAGGCAGGCAGCTAGTTTCAGTAACGGAAGGGTAAGCCAAGGGGTCGGTAATCAGGAGCATGGGGTCATTTTATGAAGCTCCGCAGAACCACTCTGATCCTCGGGGGTTACACAAAAGCTTATATGCCATTGCCAGAGCTTCACATTTCCATATGTTATCACATCACAATGGATGAGTTCAACAGGGGATACGACATATGGACGCGCCATTTTTGTAATCTGAAATAAAACATTTCTCTAAAAAAATGATATGTTCACACCTCGCTAATGCGAGCTTTGACATTAGAACCGAAACCCAAAATCTTGGGGCCTTCTCCAAATTGTAAATCCAAAACGTCCCATCGCACACTTCTGACCGGAAAAAAAAAGTTCCCCAAGCGCAGGGCGGGTGCGGCAGTGACAGCAGACCCCTCCACAGATCACAATAAACCAATAAAAAGTCACTCGCACTCCAAATGTAGCTTCCAGTCAATCTATTTATTGACTAAATGGTGCAGCATATCCAAATTGTAATCTACATGGAACTCCCTGGGCTTAAAAGGACAATTGTTGGAGAAGTACGGGGTTAGGGCTTTTCCCCATAGTTCTCCTTAGGGTAACGGGAGGACACAAACTAGCGTCCTACCGTCACCCTAGGAAATTAATATCTATTTTACTTTCAGCAGATCTATGTAAAAACAAAAAATAAAAAAAAGTTACCAAAAAGGGTTTTACTTACCTGTGTCTCTGCCTCGCGCTCCCGTCCGAAGATCTAAAGATACTCGAGCGGCCGAGCAGCATGAGGGGGCGGCGCATGCGCAGTAACTATCTTCGGCCGGGAGAAGAGGAGAGACGCAGGGTAAGCAGCATGCACGCGGACAGACACCGTGGGACACAGCAGTCAGCGCTGGATCAGAGACCAGGTTTAGGTTTCCAACTGAGTAACTTATGCTAATATATCCAGCAATGGCAACTGCCTCCCCCAACAAACCAACAGCCACACATTGTCCCCCGGCTTTCACTGAGCCAGTTTGATGTTGATGCCAGCGGAGCGGTCTGCTTTTCAGTCCTACAGAGTCAGGAGTTGCGGTCTCTTAAAAGGAGAACTATGAGGGGGGTGGGGCGCTTTTCACTCCTCCTCATAGTTCTAGCCGACCTGTGACAATGAGACTGTCACAGGTCGGCTCAGTAGATCGGGAGGTGAGCGAACACATACCGGCGTTCGCTCACCTCTCGATCCTGTCACGGCTCTCTGCCGTGACAGGGGGAGGGGCTGGATTCGGACAGGGGAGGGGGCGGGTACAGCTGCCTCTAGATAGGCGGAGCCAGCTGTCAGTCACGCAGCTGGGCGGATCCCGTCATCTACGTCGGGATCCGCTCCGGCGTCTCAGTATACCGCGAGCTGTAGCTCCCTATATACTGAGCTTAGGGTGACGGCAGGACGCTAGTTTGTGTCCTCCCGTTACCCTAA